AACGAGACAGGTGAAGGAAAAAAGTCGCGTAACATGCTGCGGTGGGAGCACTATGTTAAAGTTGCAACTTTTTGTCCGTGTTTTGTTAGTTTTTAAGAAAAATTTAAAGAATAGAAATTTATTTTTTTTTGTTGTTTATGTCGTTTGTTATTTAGGTTGTTGTTTATGCTATTGTTTTTGATTATGTTGTTGCTAATGTCGAGGTTTATGTTTTAGTTGTTGTGATGTTGTTGTTGAAGTTGTTGTCTATGTTGTTGTTGTTTATGTTTTTGTTGTTGCTTATAGTAATTCTGTTAGATAGTGATTTGCTGTTTTTGTATAATCTTTTATAAAATGTTTTTCATGTGATGTTTTTTGCTTCTTACATTTCCAAACGTTGTCATAACTGAATGTTTATTTTTTTTCTGCTCCAATAATGCTCCGCTTGTTAGTTAGTAGCCTTTTATCGCTGCATTCAATGGAATATAAGAATGTTAAAATGTTGTGACGATGTGGTTTTTGACGTTATTTAAAACTCTGGAATGTCTTAATTGTCCTGGAAGTAGTCAAAGTCACAACTGCTACTACTGCTGCTGCTACTACTGCTGCTGCTACTAGTACTGCTACTACATTTACTACTACTACTATTTTAAATTCTACCACTAATATTGCTCTTATTATAACTATTACTGGCAATGCCGTAAGCTAGCGTAAAACTGATTTTACTACTAACCTTAGTGAGAACAATTATAATTTTTACTGTTACTACTACTGATGCTAGTAATTTTGTTTGTACTGTTTTTGTGATATCAAATAGGAAGGACTGTTAATGCGACCCACTCACTCTGAGATAGGAAGCCACAACAACGACATCACATCCTCCTTTACTTGCTACTTCTCTGTTTTCAGCTGACGAATGTGTCTGCAAGCACCTTATTAGTACGGCAACATATTGCTCCTTTTTCTCATACATTTGCAACTTCATATAGACGTGAGCACGTGTATTACACACGCATACATTCACACACACATATTCATTCACACACACACACATATTCATAAAAAACACACGCACACACATTCTTAACACGCGCACATGTACATGCACTCGCATTCACACACATGCCCAGACTCATACATAAATTCTCACACACACACACATGTATTCACACACACACACACACACACACACACACACATACATATTCATTCTTGCATTTGCATAGACGTGCACACATATGCATACGCATTCGAAATTATGCAAACACAATCATACACGCCCACACACATTTATACATATACACGTATTTACACCTACATTCAACTATACATTTCCAAATAATAAAATAATACATGCTTTCTTTATGTATAAATTAGCTTACATACAATCATTAAGTCATTTGAAAGATAAGATAACAACAACACTATCAAAAACAAAATCAACAGCAACCTCAGCAACAACAACCTCAACAACAACAATCTCAACAACAACATCAACAACAACAACACAATTATCATTATCAAAAATAACATCATCAACAGCAACAACAATTTCATCAACAACATCATCATCATCATCATCAACAACAACAACATGGCAATTCATATAGACTTTTCGTAACGTGGCATAAACAAGCAAACCCCAGCATAGATATAACAACAAAAAAACAAAGAAACAAAAGAAAAGTAAATTTTACGGGGCTCTTGTCGCATAGCCGCCATTTAATCATTGCGGATCTGGTGCTGTTTGTTCTTTGTTCGCCTACTTATCCGTCTATGGTTTACGTTGCCTTAACAACCGAATCGAGTTTGAACTGCCTCGTCATATATGACGTCATGTTGTGAAATATCTCCGGCTTACGTCAACTCACATGACGTTTGCGGAAAAATTAAAATAAAAATTTTCACCCGCAAACACACAAACATACAAACCACATATAAACAGACTGTTTGTTATACGTACAAGGAAAAAAAATTACGAAGAGTTTTTTTCATGATCTTTGTGTTTGCATTGAGTTTTCACATTGAAACAACATTCCTTTTACGCAAGCATGACAAATTGCACTCCAGTCGTGACCACAAACATTTCAAAATGATTGTTTGTTGTGTAGATATTTTGAGTTTATTGTTTAGTCCTAATCTCAATTGAGGGGACTGGCTGCCCTTTCAACTCCCCTTTTTGACCTCCTTCGACACCCCCTCAACATCATATGCAACTTCACAAGAACAGGAATTATTTGCAGTCACTCAAACAATCTAGTGTACGTGCATGTATACACAGAACGCAGTTCTTACTCTTCAAGGATTCTCTCACACCTTCACTAATTTAATTATTGTAGGGGAATTATTTTTTGGCTCGTGCGAAGAAACACAATCAAAAAAACACGTAGTAAGCAAAACAAGAACATAAAAATACAAACAGGCTAAACGCACACATTGCACTCACACACACACACGCACGCACACGCCCACACGATCACAGTGAACAAACCAGATGACTATGCACAAAAGAAAGGACTACACTTAACTTTGATGCACTTTAATTGATTTAATCATTCTTATTATTCCAGGCTAATTGATCTATATGTATATATATATATATATATATATATATATATATATATATATATATATATATATATATATGTACACTAAACAAAAGACCAAAGAAATGCTTCAAGCAAGCTTCTTTCTGCGTTTCTCTCTTTCACTCATACCTTTCTCTCTCTCTCCCTCTCTCTCTTCTTTCTTTCTTTCTTTCTTTCTTTCTTTCTCTCTCTATCTCATTTTTTCATTTTCGCTTTCTTTTTCACAACTTCTTTAATTATCATTTTTGTAATTTTTGTTGTTTTATGGATTCATACGACGCGCATGTATATTGTCTCTTCAATTTTTCATTCTAAGAATAATTGTACCCATTGTGTGGCAATGATGCACAGATTCATGCACCTATAATGTTTGAAATTATGAATGGAAACCTCAGAACCGGATGACCTTGTTTTTGTTATAATGTTATAATGTGACGAGATGTGATGTGATCCTACCACTATTATTGATAGTATTGTTGTAATGCAGACACCGATGTTATTACGACTTCAAAGATCTCTATATTTCCATCGCCAGTGTTGTAGCTTCCAACGTTTGTCAAGTGTTCGTTATTCCGTAGGTTCAAGAATTCCGATGTATGAACACAACTGCTTCAAACGCAAATTTTTTTCAACGTTTATTTGAATGCCAACAGTAATAGAAACACCAAACTAATCCAAGTGACTTCATAAATCACATTTACGACTTCGCTTAAAACTTCGCTAGAGACCTCGCTACCCCTTATATACCCTTTACAGTAGATTTTTCATCCTCTATGGTATGAAAAGATTCTACAGTTTACAATCAATAACAAATAGAAAAGATAACAATAATTATATAGCGTAATTTGCGTTTTTTCGTTATATAAGTATAATATGATAGAATTGATGAAATGTGATGTAACAAGTGTAATGTGACGCAATTGATGTCATGCTGTATGATATGCTGCCTGCCATATATGCAGAATATATTCAATTGTTATTATTATATTATTACAATTATTTATTATACTTATATTATGCATAATATAATATAATATATCTTGTATAATAAAGTTAAATTATAGTTATTACATGTATATGTATGGTGCGAATATATGTAATGTAGTCTGATTTATGTGGTGCTATTTGATGTAGTAAGGTGTTATAATGTAATGTAATGTGATGTAATGTAATGCAATCTACATAGTTTAAGATGCTATCAAAAACTATTGAACGATTTAAATAGAAACAAGTTTATTTGTAGAAAGTAAATTTTTTTAATAAGAGAAACCAATGAGGGCGAATATTGATCAATGATGCAATTAATGATTTGATTGGCCGATCAACAAAGTGTTAAAAGGATGAATGAATGAGTGAGTGAGTGAGTGAATGAATGAATGATTAAATGATTAAATGAATGAATGAATGTGTGAACGAATGAATGAATGAATGATTGAATGAAGGAGTAAGTGAATGAGTAAAATATGAATTGAGTGAGAGACAGTAAGAATGAATGAATATGCGAGTAAATGTGTGAATGAATGGTTGAAAGTAAAAATAAGAAATGAATAAATGAATGGATGTATAGATGAATGAGCAGATAAAATCGAATAAAGCAATAAGAACCAAGAAATGAATGACAGATTGATTAAATAAATAGAGTGTGAATAAAGAAAATAAAAGATGAACGAATAAATGAATGAACGAATGAGTGAGTGAATGAACGAATGAGTGAGTGTGTGAGTGAATGAGTGAGTGAGTGAATGAGTGAGTGAATAAAAGAAAGACAAAAGTTACAGAAAAACAAAAATTTAATAATTCAAATGACTGACGGCTCGTTATTAGCCTTTCAGTTCCTACTCCAAGATGTATAAAAATGTAATTTCAAATGCATTAACATTGATAATAGTAATAATAACAATAACATAATAATAAATATAATTAAGAAAAGAATAATAAGATATTAAGAAATAATAAAAAATAATTAATAATAATATCAATAATATTATTATTTATAATTATTTTAAATAAGAAGAAATAATTATTTGTGCTGAGATTTCATTTCAATGAATTTGTGTTTTGTAAGTTTTAAATAAATTTTGATAAATCGCTATCAATCCATACTTGTTTTATAAATCATAGCAAGCAATATTTTAACAAACTCATGATTTAATAATTAAATAAATAAATAAATAATTGGATATATAAATTATAACATCAAGTTATTTGGAGCAGCATGTATAAGGAACATTATTCACTTGTCTGCAAGACCATTTTTTCCTATCATATATATAGAAATTATAACATATAATATATTATGTGTTATATTATATATGTACTTATACCATGTATGGATTTTCTATATATCGTACACTAAATGTGTGTAATGTGACTTATCTTGAATGAATATATGCCAGATCCATAGACGAACATATTCCATCCAAACAGACAGACATGCAAATCAAATCAAGCAGTGTCGAGTGAGTTCACGTACGTTTGCACGTACGCAGTTCAAGTACACACGTACCCATGTAAGTACAAGTAAACTTTGAAATACGCATACCTATTTTTAAATACATCCGCACTGTAATTTGTAATTAGGCTAATATATATTTATATAATATATAAAAATTATCTATGTATACGGAGATCCATATAATTGACAGACACACATGAAACAAGATCAAATGAACAAACAATCATGTCAACTTACATGCTAACAAATACAAACAAATAAACAACCATGCAAAAATAAATACAAACATACGAACAAACACGGACACATACAAACAAACAAACAAACAAACACAGACAGCCAGTAAAGAATCAGACAGAGACGTATGGATTGCACAAAGGTGAGACATCTAACTAATGTGAAGTGATTCTTCATGGCACCAATTAAATCTCCGTATGAGATCCACGCAACAATATTTCATTCGTTTTGTTTACTCCTCCTTTTTGCCTGTTTATCTTTTTTTACTCTTATTTCTTTATTTTTTCTCCTACTTCATTCTTTTCTTCATTTCCACCTATATTTTTAACTTCAAACAAATTTCCAACTCAGATAAGATTCCACTGGCTGATTCAAACAAGTGTTAGAGTAAATATAAACAAACATTTCCTAAACACTGAAGCCGACATCTTCCTAACAATATTTCATATTCATATATTCACGCATGCCTTCTCCACCCACCCCTCACAAATGCAACTTGACATCTCTCAAAATCATTTGACCTCTGACCCGACTGAAAATTTTAAGCAAAGGTTTTATGCCGGTTGAAGCTATTAAACATGCATATAATGCGTGTGCACTCTACTGTGCCTGTGTTGTGTTAGTAACTCGCCAGTTTGTCCAGCGATCGATCATCGAGACGTTATGCTTCATACTTTTAAGTTTCTATATGGTAATTCGTTTGAATTGTTTATAATGTTATTTTTGGGGAATTATTTAAAATTTAGGATTAATATTGAGGAAAACAGGAAAGCTTTTTAAAACGTAGTCAAAAAGTTGGGCTTTTGCATTCTCCACAAGAATAAAATAGGGTTAAATTGATGTGGAAAACACTGAACAACTGGTATAAATTTTTGGATGGATTCAAATATTTTTTAAGACTTCATTATTCGGAATTTGAACAGTTTGACCTTCTTGAGAAGTGCGTAGGATTTTGATGGAAGGTTGGAATGTTTGGAGGAGGAAATGATGAGTGAAGGAATAAAAAAAGTGATGCACGAATCGGAGTTGATTGGAAGATGGATGTGGAAAGCGTGGGTGAGAGGTGGTGCCAGTAGGAGGGGCACATAGAAGTCCACCTTATTCAAATTAAATATTTTTTAACAATGCGCACAAATTGTAAATCTAAAAAAGTGTAAAGTTAATATTGAAAGAGGTCCAAGGAATAATTTCTTTGTAGCATTTGTTTTTTTTGCAGTTTTCAATTAATCAGAAATAAAAAATAGAACTCTGGTGATTTTGGTACTTGCGGTTGAGATGATGTCACTGATGGCTATAAAAACAATTACAACAATACAAAAATACAACAAATATTTTACTTGCATGTTTACTCATTTCAATAGAAAGATAACGATCAAAATAAAAAAATGACACAAAAATCATCAGTTAAACTAATTTGATTTGCAACAAGAAACCTCCACACAACGAACGAACTAGTCTCTTTATAACAAATTTTATACCTTTTTATAACAAACTTCTACGTAGCAAACAAACAAACTAACCAACCAACGACCACTTATAACGATTTTTCTACTACCAGATTAGCAACACGTACGTGAATCCACGGCTGAACTTGCCATACACCACCATCAACGCCATCACTTTCACTGCAATCGCTGCTACAACGACCACAACAACGCCATCATCAGTTTTCATACCGACCACCGCAACGTCAATTGCAGCAACTACAACAGCCACTGATGCTGCACACAGCGGTGGCGGTACTTGCGCTCTCAACGAGGTAATGCGTTATTTTAATTGATAATTATTTTTTTATAAGTGTGAAATAATTTTTTTTAACTGAGTCAAGTTTTCCTTATTTTCCTTATCTAATCATCTTCACTATCCTATTCATCATCATCTTCATCATTATCTTCATCAACATTTTTGTTTTTTTTTCATCATCATCATCGTCGCGTCATCACACCATCATCATCATTATATACTTTACCTCTTTACAGATTTTTGTAGTCATTACCTTAATCATTACGTCAATCATTATCGTTAGTTACATCACTATCATCATCGTCATCATCGTCATAATTATCATCCTCATCATCAAAATTTCTTGTATTGCCATCTTCATTACCATCAACATTTCTATTATTTTCACTTTCACTTTCACTCCCCCATCACCACCATCACCATCACCACCATAATCATCGACATCATCATCGTAATCGTCATCATAATCGTCATCATCATAATCGTCATCATCATAATCGTCATCGTCAAAGCAGATGACGTCATCTTTGCGCTGCCCTGAAGACGAGAGTATCTTTTCTGACGTCGATAGTGGAGGTGCTAGTGATGATCCTTACCATAATATGAATAATATTATAAATAATAATAATATAAAAACTTTACAAAATAATAAAAACCTGGATGACGATTACACCGATCATTATCATCCCCTACAACAGCATCACCATCGTCATCATCATCATAATCTTCATCAACATCAGCAGCAGCAACAATTTTTGAATCGAGGAAGCTTGCAGCGAAACATTTGTTAGTTGAAAATTTTTAATAATAATAATAATAAAAACAACAACAATAATAATAATAATAAAAAAAGAATAATAATAATCTGTTTTGAAATCAAATTACATTTTAACATCTTGTCAGCATGCGTGTGTGTGTGTGTATGTGAGTGTTTGTGTGCGTGTGTATGTATACATTTTGTGTGTTTATATCGGTCAGCGAGTTAGCTTAGTCAGTAGAAGTGCTATGTCTCGTGCATGTCGCTATGGCCTGGTTTGAATACTGACGATCCGAAACTCAAAGAAGACTATCATGAGCCACGCGCGTACGATGATGCGGTGCTTGCGCGTGCATACATAATGCGTGTGCACGTCGTGTGGTGTGGTGTGGATTGTACAGTTTTTGTGGCAGGCAGGTTTAAATACGGGATGATAAGCAAGCGGTTTTGCGTATGTCAGTGCTGCAAAATAAAGAAAAAAATATAGGTGCGTAAGTATCGGCTCTGTAGGAAGGTGAGTGTATGTAAGTTTAGAATGTACGTTTGTGTGTATGTGTATGCTAGTGAGAATGTATGTTTGTATGTGTGTGTGTGTGTGTGCAGGTTGAATACATTTTGTGCGTGTATATATGCTTGCATTTTGTGTGTGAATTTATATACATGCTTTCTTATGCGTGTTTGTGTATGTGTGATTGTTTTTTTTCGTCTATATCATTGCTGTTTGTGTGGTACTAGATTTGTAGAAAAAGATTATGTAGAAGAGATTGATAAGGCAGCACATGAAATCTAACACATAACAACAACAACAACAACAACAACAACAACAGCAGCAGCAGCAGTAGCAGCAACAACAGCAAAAGCGACAACAACAACACACAAACATCATTTTTTAACTTCAATACATGTGATATATATACAACAGTTGATGAGATATTTGTTATATGCATGGTTCATTAACACAAACCTTCTCATTTATAAGATTCTGCCTTACATAGAAAGATATAAAGTCCGTTGGATCAGATTAAACCATATGTTATGCTGTCTAAAAACAATACACACACACAAACATTCATATTGTTTATACATATAGTATGGTATATATACAAACACACAATGTATACATACAAAATGTTGCATACAAAACGTCTACATCCAAAATTTTGCATACATACAAACACACAATGTCTACATACAAAATGTTGCATACATACAAACACATGATGCCTACACACAAAATGTTGCATACATACAAACACACAATGTCTACATACAAACACACAATGTCTACATACAAAATGTTGCATACATACAAACACATGATGCCTACATACAAAATCTCGCATACATACAAACACACAAGGTCTACATACAAAATGTTGCAAACATACATACAAACCAGTCCTTCTATACACATTCCATGGTCTTCATTAGCCTTCTACATATAAGGAACGTTAAGAAAGTCTCGTTATCCGTCCAGCTGCTTTAATTATATCTTCGATTAATCTCAATACTCTCTTTAACAGTAAATGAACAAACTGAAAAATTACTAAATGGAAGTAAAAAAACTGACCAAACAAATGAGTTGATCGACATACAATTCAATTTCTCACTCATTCTCTTTCATTCAATTACTCTTTTATTATTTTATTTATTTATTTACATACAATTCATCCATTCATCCATCTATTCATTCGTCCGTCCGTCCGTCCGTCCGTCCGTCCGTCCGTCCATCCATCCATTCATCCACTTATTTATTTTCCCAAAACGATCTATTTTTTTCACCAACTTAACTAATTTACATGAAAAAATTGACATTAAAAAATCAACATAAAAAATTGGCACAAAAAATTAATCAATAATAAAAATAAATAAAAAAATTCTTTTTTCCCTATCACAACCAACTCATGAACCAACCAATCACATTCTGACAACAAGGCCACAAGACCGAAACCATCACGCCACCACCACTCGTCAACACCAACTTCAACAACGTCAACAGTCTCAACAACAACAACAACAACAACAATAGCTACAACAAAAAAATGATCAACAACAACAACATCATGAATGACAACAACAACGCCCACCACAACTCAATTAGTGCCTCGTCTCTGTCTTCATTGACGCCGACAACAAAACTAAACAACAACAACAACAACGCAACTACACCAGCGACTACAAAACTCCACAACACGACCACAATTTTGATATCGCCGTCGTCGGCGTGCAACAACTTCAACAACTACCCGTTGTCGAATCGCGCGAGATTCGTTCTCGGAAGCCAGTACCCAGCCATTAAACCGGGCCAACCGAAAGCTATTAACGCCAATTACAGACAAATGTTGCCAACAAATTATCATCAACAGCAGCAACTTCAGAATCAACAACAACAACTTCAATTTCAACTTAAACAACAACAACTGCAACTGCAAAATCATCAACAACAACAACAACAGCTGCAACCACAACAAGTTAAACTAACAACATTTGGAAGAAACGATGAATCCAATTGCATTAACGTCACTCAAAACATCTTATACAATAACAACAACCTCAACAACAACATCAACATCAACAACAACAACAATGGCTACTCTCAAGAAACTATCTTGAGGGTATTGAAACGATAAATTTTCATTCAATTTTGATTATTTTCAAACAAAAACTACCACCGACATACGTACGTTCATACACAGATTACACACACGCAACACACATCCACCCATCCACACACACACACGCGCACACACACACAACACACACGTACATACATATATTCATACCCACATACACAAATACATGTGTATATTTTCGTATACTCTGTGTATATGTTCACGTACATACATTATAAATTACTTTTTTTGAAATGTAATTTTTCTCGTAAAGTTTTTCTTCACGAAAACATCGAGATTTGCATGCATATGACGCATGTTGCAAATTATTCATACACATTTAATGCATTCTTCCTCGCTGACGTCTTCAGCGTTTTACATGTTTCGTCATCGTCGTTCTCATCATCGTCATCCTTATCATCACCATCATCCTTATCATCATCATCACCACCATCATCATCATCATCATCACCACCCATATTTTTGTTTTCTTCATGTTCGTATTATGTAAATGCTCTTAATTTGTCATTAATTTTTTTCTCACAATTATATAGCTTATATCAAGTATCAACATTGATACGTTATCGTTATTATTAATGTTATTTTAAGTTGTATAAATACTATGTAACAATTTTTCATTTTGGGCGAGTTGTTGTTATGTTGTATAATTTTGATGCTTAATTTTTATATGAGAGGCAAAAATTTTTTTCGAAAGCAATTTCTATCCACTATTTTCTTTTCTCTCTTTTCTCTTTCGTTTTTTTCTTTGTTTCTATTTATCTTTATGGCCACACTCGTGTGTACATTACAATGATACAAAATTCAATTTGTCTGTGAACACCACACACACGCACGCACACACACGCGCGCGCACACACACACTTACTTTTTCTTACACTTAATATATACATAATATATATATATATATATATATATATATATATATATATATATATATATATATATATACAAACATAATATATATATATATATATATATTATATATATGTTGGAAGGAGACCATATTTTATGCTGTATTAAATGAATTTTACTGAACTTTTGGCATTAATCGATTTAAAGTTTGTCTTTTCATTTTTCCTTATTAAAATTTTCTAGAAATTCATTTTGTTGAAAATAGAATTATCATCCAAGTTCATTATGAAAATTTAATGAAACTGTTGTTAACCAAATTCATCATGCAGATAAGGCCTTTTTTCGATTTTTCATAAATCATCTTCAGTGAATTGCAAGTTTGCTTTATATAGTTTCTTTAAACCAGACCTGCACTGAAGATGATTTATGAAAAATCGAAATAAAGCCTTATCTACATGATGATTTTGGATAGCAAAAATTTCATTAAATTTCCATAATGAACTTGGATGATAATTCTATTTTCGAAAAATTCAATTTCCAGAAAATTCTAATAAGGAGAATTGACATGAAAAACTTTAAATTGATTAATGCCAACAGTTCGGTCGAATTCATACAATACTATATAAATATATATATTTATATATAAACTTTATGTGTTAATATTTTTGTATGGGTATGTCCGTTTATTTTTCACGTGTGTTTGTGTGTTTGTGTGTGTGTGTGTGTAGTGTGTGTGTGTGAATGTATGAATAAGTATATACAGATGCATTTTTTTTTGCGTTTCAGTATCTCTTCATGCAAGCATCTCTGCATATTTCTGGGTATGCTTGAGTTTACCTGAACACATAAATTGTATATACGTATGTATGTAAATGTATATATATATATATTTATATATGTTGGTAATAGACCATAACTTTTACAATATTCTATAAATTCTACCGAATGTTTGGCGTTAATATGTTTGTAGTTCGTAACGAACTACAAACATGGTCTATGAACTACAAACAAAATTATGGTCTATTACCAACATTTACTCGAAGTTCTGCGACCAACCGACGTAATCTAACAATCGAACAAGATCGCGAGCAGCGACTGCTCCATCTCTCTCGAGAATTAGAAGTTAAAAAGAAGGTAGTTCAAGACTTGTCGAATAACGAACTACAAACATATTAACGCCAAACATTCGGTAGAATTTATAGAATATTGTAAAAATATTTATATATATATATATATATATATATATATATATATATATATATATATTTATTGAATACAATTAATTTATTCATGCATTTATGAAAAGTTTGTTAATATATTTGTATTTTGATTTGTTATTTTGATATACAAACAGACATGGATTGACAGATGAATATATCAACGGATAAACTAACAGACAGACAGACAGACAAAAAGACTGACAGACAGACAGACAAAAAGACAGGCAAAAAGACAGACAAAAAGACAGACAAAAAGATAGACAGACAGGCAAACAGAAAGATACAGAAAGGGACAGAGAATCAACAACGCAGCACATTAAATGCATAGATTTTGTGTATGGTGAATTGTCATCTGTTGAAATGTTCTACCTCTAAATTCAAGTCATCATCTTAGTTTGGGAAGTTTAAAATTATTTTGAAAAATTTTCTGACGTATGATATTGTTACTGTATATCTGATGAATACAAAAAGCTCTCGTAACACAAATTACTAAAAGATTGGAGGCTGTCCTTTGTTCCCTTTCAGTATTGTCAAAGTTAATAGTTTTTGTTTATTTGGATGATTTTTGTATAAATAATTTTTTCAGTAAATGTTTTTCTAATTTGATTGATAAATATTTGGCCGGTCTTGATTTGTCGTTGTTATTGTTGATGTTTCGAACGTAATAATTTATGTAGTTGTTGATGTACATGCAGACGTCGTTAATGTAAGTGTTGATTTTATTGTTGATGTTGATGAATGTTCTGGAAGATGGAGTTGTCGTTGTTGTTGATGATGCTGTTGCTGTTTTTCATGTCATGATTGTAGTAGTTGTTGGTGTAATTGATGTTGTTGTTCATGTCGCTGGATATGTTTTTGATGTAGTTGCCGAAGTGGCTGATGTTGTTGTTGATTTTGTTGTTGATGTTGTTGTAGTCGTTGTTGCATTTTTGAATGAGCGAACATAACGGCAGCAAAGTCATAAACTGTTATCGCAATTTTCTGATTGAAGAATCATAAGTTGTTGTTGTTTTTTTGTTGTTGTTTTTGTTGTCTTTGTTGTTGTTGTTTTTTTGTTGTTGTTCTCGCTCACAACACAAGTAACGAATGCGAGCTACTTTTCAGTAGATTCAAATCAAAATCTAACATATTAAAGATAATAATAATAACACTTATGAAAGATTTATTTGTATTTTATTATTAATGTTTGTTTAATTCATTAAACTCGCTAAAAACAACTGACTAAGTGCTTTATTTAAAATATCATCCACCAGCTATAAATTTTAAGAATTCAGACAATTCAGCGTAACTATAGTGTGAATTCGTCAAAAACAACATATTTGAAAATTAAACAACGAAATAAATGGTAAGTAGGGATCAGAATTTCAGTTCGATTGGTTACGATAAAGTTTGTGAAGTGCGTTGTACTCTTTGTGTGTATGTGTGTTTGTATGTGTGTACGTGTACGTGTGCGTGTTTGTGTGTGTGTGTTCGTGCGTGCGTGTGTGTGAATCCGTGTTTATATACAACAGGTGATTGATTGATGAGCTCTTTGGTTTGTTTGAGGTAATTGAGACTTAAATTAATTGAAAACTATGTAACAAAAATGACTAAAGTTAAATTTAGCTTTTACCATTTTAGAAGATTAAAAAATAATTTGGTTTTCTACATAATAAAACTTAGTTTGTAAAAAAAGAGAAATTTAAAATGAATAAATTCAACTTTGTTCTATAGGTTATAAATCATGAGATGGCACAGCCAACACAAACCACACAAGACACACAAATGCACATGTGCAACTTCATATTAGGCTCTGTCGGCCTACCTCCAGCCTTTGCTTTCGAACCAGGGAACGATGCAACACTTGTTAACAGCACGTTTCATTCATAGAGCTTATTTTTCGAGCATTGATTTTGAAAACTTGAAAATATTGTGCGACTCAGTTGAACTGTTGCTTGGCAGGATGGAAAGATTAAGGTGGAACTTCATTGAAAAGTTCGCTTGCCTCTCCAATGTAATGTTTATTCATGTGTGGATGGAGGATAAAAAACGAAAAAAGCAATGCCCGAAAAATCACGTGATAGAGTATGGAGATGACAAATAGGAAAGCGGCATATATGATGATACCTCATCAATATCGCATGCATGTAGATTAAAAGTTATTTTTCTCTGAAGGTTGGCATGACGTCACATTAAGTTGCAACTCCTATTTGTTAGGATCATTTGCTTTACGTCACCTTGTTCATTGAAGTAGTCACGAACTAACTTGCAAATTTTTTCATCTAACTTTCGAAATAGGCTCTTAAATATTCATAAAAAAGCGGAAAACATTTTTAAGACCAGTTAAAATCTTGTCACAATATATTATTTACGTTTATCAGTTTGATTAGCAAAAAAATATTTCAACAAATATGCCAATCAATGTTGAATAACTTGTTACATCATAATTTGGATGAATATTTTAAAAAAATAACGTATAATCAACAACAGTTTTAAACGAGATTAAAAAAGTTTAGTTTACAAAAGTTATAAAATATAAAAATTTTTCAAGATTAACAGGCCTAAAATGATGCAACAGAAATCATTTAGTTTATCAAAAGTTGAGAAAATGATCAAAATATATAAAAGATTCACTAAAACTGACATTTTCTTAAAAACTTTCGACTAATTATTTATTTATAAAAATGTTTAAAAGTTATTTTGTATGTACGCATATTGTACATTTCGTTTAGTTTCTACGATGCAACGTAACTGAATTTTTTTCTGACTGTCAGAACTTATACAAAAACTTCTTGCCAAAAATGGATTTCCAAAATGAATATAGTTAAAGAAAATATATAAAGATATTTAATGTATTTGGCAAATATAATTTTATTTGCAAATATATTAATCAAATTATAAGTCAGTTTTCGTATCTAGAACCAAAACTCAACGTAATTTATTTCATAAATAGATTTAAAATTTATAAATTCATTATAAAATTGGACAAAAATTCTGATTTTGAGAAATTTAATTTAGATTCGATAGGCAACCACAGTTTTTACGTCAACAAAAAGAACAATTTCGTCAGTTTTTTAAATTGTGAAATAGAAAAGACAATTTCGTTGAAAAACCTATTTAAGTATTTCTTTATAATTAATAATTTTATTTGAAAGTATTTCAATAATTTTAAAAACATAATTAATTTGTTATTATTAATTTTATTTCTTTTTTTATAAAAAATTTAAACTTCGATAATAAACTATGTTTATTTTGTTTCTATAGCAATGGAGAAATTTGAGGTACGAATTTTAAATCGTAATATATCTCAATTAAATCATAAATTCTAATACTGAATTTCATTGCTCTATTTCTATTCAATTGTACAAGTTCTACTCACGCGATTATCTCATTTTCCGTTAATTTATATATTTAATTAGACTACCTAAAAAACGAATAGTTAATAAGTATTCCTCAATAATTATCCGATATTATCAAGCTAGTTATATTTTAAAGTAGAATTATAAAATGATTATAATTAGATTATATTTAAATGATAATATATAGAAAATTAAAATAATTATTATAATATAGACAGACAAGCTGATCGGCAGATTCCATAACGCCTTAGAATTAATAGACGCTTTTTTAAATGCTGGGTCATTAAATTAAATAAAAATGAAATGGACAACTCTTTACTAACATCTGAACACTAATTAACATTTAAAACCTATTAATCACAAAATTTACAATCAATTTTTCCGTATTAAAATCTAGCATCAATTTCTCCCCACCCCCTACCAAACCAACACGAGGACAGAGCAAGTTGGGAGCATGCCCACGTTCCATCCCCGTATCCAAAAACCTTTATATCAAAAAGTTTAAGAAAGTCAGTTTTCAAACTCGAAATCTCTCGAAACTTTAATCAATTCATGCTACCATATTAATTCTATAGGATTTATATATAGTTATTATATACATTTTGACGAGAAAGCTGGTTCAAAGCCGGTTAAAACCGGCTACAAGTATGTGAAAAACAATGCAATGACGTCATTTTAATAATTTGCATAATTGTAAACAACAACAGGGTTAGTTTTCAAAACAGTGACAACCCTTTTCAATATAAAAGCTACTTATTTAGTTTTTGGCCTGTCACAAAACTTGGGTGTGGTTTCCACCTAAGCCCACAGTAACCATTCTCATATATGTGCTATGATTTAAATCTCAATCTAAATTATTTCCAATGTTCAAATATTTTAATTGAACGTCTGGGTTTACCATCGTCTTCCTGTTCTAACTTTTTCTTAACTCGTGTTAAACACTCTTTTGCTAAATCTGCATTTGCTATCTTGGCCATTTTCTCTGGAACCCTCTACCTCCTTCTCCATCACTTACGTAGTTCAGAGCGGATCTCAATACCCATCTGTTTGCTAAATTCATTGAGGAGCGCTGTTAAACATATTTTAACAAGCGGAAATAGCGCTTTATAAATTGATTGATTGAAACTATGAAAATCTCATTAGATTCTGTGCAGCTCTCTTGGACTATATAGCCTATAAATAAACATACGCATGTGCAAACATAATACACACATCCATATAATATCTATATATATGCATGTATACATAAAATAATTCTTAAAAAACAGATAATTCGCGAATTGGGTGTTGGAGTCCAAGGGAGGACCTTACATGTGATGGAGAAGGATACGAAAAAGGTCTTCTGTCTAAAGGAGGTGATTCCTGAAAAAAACATTTATTCTGCTAATTTTAATAATTTAATATTTTATTTATTATTTACTTATTATTAAAATAATAAAAAATTATTTAAATTTAATATTAGGTTATTTAGAAATTTTATGAATTAATTTGTGTTACGTCGGTTTTCAATGGATAATGCGTCATAAATTAATTTTATACAAATTGTAGGTATTAATTAAATAAATTATTCATTAATACATTTTACTATAAGATCGAATGTCTGAACAATGATAAAGCACAAGAAATATTTGAAGAGGTTTACAGTTGATTAAATTAAAATCAATTTAATAAAATCAATTATTTAAAATCAATCGTTGGAAATCAACTAAACAAAAACAACCATTTAAAATCCATTAATAAAAATCACTTAATTTGTTAATGAAATAAATTTAATGTGATAAACATCAGTTTGAAAACTAATCTTTCAGAAAAAACTCCATTTTTTTTTAATCCAAACCAGATGAAATACCTAACTGATCACTTACGTGTGAACACGGTTAACGTTGTTACACCCCTCTGCTTATTCGTACACTGGGAGGAATCGGTGATTAATTAATTAGTTAAAATTAAAAAATAGATAATAATTAATTAACAATTTAAATATAAATAAATTGTTTCATTGTTCAGCAACAAATTTTATACATTTTTTTCAATTTTGAATGTAGATAACCTCTTTCTTCTTCTACCAAATGTTGCCATACTTTGACAAGGGCAACTTTGAAGACCTCATGAATATACATAACAAATCTAAGGAACCAATCAGCGAGGAGGTTGAGTTTTAATTGGTCGTTTATGGTGTAATGGATAAAATGCCCGGTACTGCTCTTGCCATGATAAGTTTCAAATGCATTGAAGATCCTCGTGTTTCGCACGCAAAATCACAGGCTTTCTTATTGATTTTACTGGCAAATAGTTAAAATAATTTTACAAAAATATTTGTTTTCATATTTTAAAAGCAAGTTAAACTAAATTGAATTTTTAAAATAATTTAATTAGTCAATAAAATGTTGGTTGGGTCAGTCCATCAAGATCTTCCAGTATCTGGCATCGAAGAATGTCGTCCACAGGTTCGAAGGAACGTACGCACGATTGTATTAATTTGATTCGAATAAATTAAGCTGTGAAATTAATAAATTAAGCTGTGAAATTAATAAATTAAGCCGTGAAATTAATAAATTAATGAAATGAAAACAAGAATAAATGTACGCGTAAATAACGGATGAACAATTGATTGGATGATGAGAAAAAATGATTAAACGTAAAAGTTAAAAGAGGAAAGAGTAGAAAAAGTACACCAATGACCAAACTGACTGACCGACCGACAAACTAACCGACAAAATAACTGGATTGTCTAGCTAAATGTGACTGACTCAATAATTGAATAAATGGATAAGCGGATAAATGAATGAATGAATGAAAAAATGAACTGAAAAACTTGAGAAACACACGGTTAATCGACTAATCAAACGGACAGATGAATGGATGAATAAACAATGTGATGAATGTACAAAATGACCTAAAATCAAACTCCCACAGATGTGTGAGGCCATCAAACTTTATGTTAGATGAGCACCATAATGTTTACGTAGTCGATATTTGCTCTGAAATCGTTGAGAAAGATATCAGAAGAAGAACAAGAGGAAAAACTGGTTGTCTGTTTGTTTTTTTTGTTGAGATTCATAAAAAAAATTAACAAAATGAAAATTGATGAAATGAAATTATTCATATATGGAATGACTCCATTAAAAATGACTTTTTGAAACATTTTATCGGAATTGAAATAAAGTTTTAAACTTTACATAATCGACGTTTTCATACGTTAAACCCTTCTTATCATTACCTTTTTTCATTTTATCTTTCTTTCATCTTTTTGCCATTTTCCTAATAATTAATCTCATTTCAGTTTCATTCTAGACTACAAATTAGATTTCGAAACTTCATAGTCCCAATTCCAAATTTTCAAAAGTCCATAGTCCCATTCCTGAATTCTCAGGCTGCCTGACATTCGCCGCCCCGGAGATTGTAGTAAGAAATAGTAGTCACGACACGGCGTCAGATTTCTGGTCACTGGGTGGTGTGTTTCTGGGTCTGATGACATGCCACAAGAAGACTTGTGAGGAGTACGGCTCCTACCTCATCGAATTCAAGTTTAATGAGAAGGCTCTGTCGACTATTTTTGAAGATATCGCAGAGGTTGGTTAAATGGTTGGTTGGTCGGTTGGTTGGTTGGTTGGTTGGTTGGTTGGTTTGATGGTTGGTCGGCGGTCGGTAGATTGGATGGTTGGATGTTTGGTTGGTTGGTTAGTTGGTCGATTGGTTGATTAGATGATTGGTTGAATAGTCAGTTGGTTGGTTGATTGAATGATTGGTTGGTTTGTTGGTCGATTGGTTGATTAAATGATTGGTTGAATGGTTGGTTGGTTGATTGAATGATTGGTTGGTTGGTTGATTGGTTGGTTTGTAGTTTTTTCATAACTGCGTTTGTTATTATGCTGTTAAAAAATTTACTAACTGAATGATGTTTCGAAACAAACCGAAGCGAAATTTCATTTAGTAACAGGGCTGACCAGAATAAAATTTTGAAAATTTATCAAGTCCTGTCATCCAAATTGTATCAGTAAAAATTTCATCATTGAACTTATTCTGAACAATAGTTTCTGTAGTGAACCTGAACACTTTCACCATTATCATTAGAATTAAAATGATTTCATTCAAGTTCGTTACGTTATGTCATCTTAATCAAATTTATACTCGTGTCATGAATTTTTTGAACGTAATGTCGTTCTAGACGCCATATGATAAACTTACATCACCGTCATCACCATCATCATCACAAACACCACCAACTACATCATTATTATCATCACTACTTTATTATCATTATCAGGATTACAGTGAGGTCCTGAGAGATGTAATCAAGCGGATAATAATGAGTGATTTAGAGGAAAGACTTACTTTAGAGTTTGATTTTTTTTCCATAATATTCTAGAGTAGTAGTAGTAGTAGTAGTAGTAGTAGTAGTAGTAGTAGTAGTAGTAGTAGTAGTAGTAGTAGTAACAGAAGCAGTAGCAGTAACCGTAATAGTAGATAGAAGTAGCAGTATTAGTAACAAAAACGAAAATAATAACAGAAAACAAATGCATTAATAATGTTAACAAACAATTGCTACTACTTGAAAACAAAGAACAATAAAACGAACAGAAAGGTCATGCAAGATGATTTATTGAGGGAGATAATCGAAGAGGAAGCGAGAAAAGAAGAGATAATTTTAAATGGAGTGCTAGGTGGGTCAACGTCATCATCAACGTCATCGTCATCATCACCTCCATCATCATCATCATAGTCATCACCACCATCACGAGGATCATGATTAATATCACCGCCATCATCAGCTCTGTAATGGTAATTGCACTCATTCCTATCATCATCGTTATCACTATTTTTATCATCAACATCACCATCGTCATCGTCACGCCTGTTTAGTGCCACTGGATTTGAACCAACCTTTTGAGTACTACACTCGGTACATGTTACGTCACTACAAAAGCAGGTCCTCGTTCATGCAAGTACTCAAGTACTTAGATGAAAATATCAAT